GTTTTGTTTTGTTTTGTTTTTGGTCATTGTTTAATTGTTTTTTGTCTTTCTGCCTGTCTGTTGATGTTCTTCCTCCATCTTCCTTGCTCTCTCTGCCTCTCCCTACCTACCTACCTATCTATCTCTCTTATTTTGTTTTGTTTGTTTTTGCATTTAAAATAACGTTCTATTAAATCTATAACCTTCTAACACCTTGGATTTCTTTCTCTAATTATTATTATAATGAAAATTCACGTTTTTATATTTGTCCTAGTGGTAACCCAACATCCACATCCTCTCGCCATGTTACCATAAATGATGGCTTACAAATCTTTATTGCATTACATGTATTTTTCTTGAAAATATTTTTTATAAAACAATATCAAGATCTATTTGGCTTATAAAAAGTTTTGGCTTTATTGTCTTTCAATACTTCAGTACACACTCATGATTTCACGATTATTTCCGTGCCATCACAAACTCTATATATAAGAATCGGTTGTACAATTCCCGGATGTGTGGTTGTGTTTGCATCGATAGAAGTGAAATCTAAGAAATTCGAACTTAATTTGACTTGTTTTGTTTGTTTATTTTCTAGGATGGTGATGTTGATGCTGCTCAGGCCATGTTACGGGTAAGATCAATAGCCTGATGTATAAACATCCTTTCCTTTGCTCAAGTAATGTAATTCAATGTAATTATTTGTGTTCTCAGGACCAGATTACAAGATTGAAAGCTGAAATTAGTTCATTTAGAGAACGGGAAAATTCTCTTCAACGACAGGTAAAAACATCTACTTTTTCTTTGATTACCCTAAGGGATGGCCCAACATTTGGCCTAACTTCTGTGGAGCAACATATTGGGCCGTTTGTCAGGACCCTAACATATACTTACTAATGTCGATTTCCATTACACTTAATATTCTTTTGCTTTACATGGATTCGGTATATGGAAAGTTCTATGTTCAATCCTCRTCTTATACCCTATGATACTTCTCTGGATTTATAGAATTTATATATTTATATAACATCATTTAATTCTGCAAAGAACATGCGTGATATGGAAAAGGAACATGCCTGATATGAGGTCGTATCAGCACTTCTCATCTGCTCGGGCTGGGTTAGATAAGGTTTAGAGAGAAAATGAGCATTTATTTGGAGAGTTGAATGATAAACAACTTATCAGTAGGCTAAGCATCTGATACGGCTGTGTATTTTTAGGAGTCACGGAGTATTTTGGCGAGCCTTTAAGCGACTGATAACCTCAATTTATTATTAATTATATGACGTTCAAAGTAAAACAATACGATAGATACTATCAACTTCCTATCAACTTGGGCATAATGTTTTCCCATTTCAGACCACGTGTCATTCTCTTGAGAATAATATTCTTTGTTTGAGTTGTGTCCATATTCATGTGTCTCCTCAAGCACAATCGTCAAACAATGAAATGATACTCAAGAGAGTGACACATGGTTTGAAATGGGAAATCAGTAGGACCAAGTTTAAAGGGTCTATTAATGTCTACTACTATGTATTACCTATGCTTACTCTTGTTTCACAAGCCAAGTTAAATCCTCCATTGCCTGTTTGTAAAGAGCAAATATATTATCAAAATTATCTTGGATACAAGGCTAACAGGAAAATACCAAAGAAAACAACAAAAACCACATCTAGAAAAAATGTAATTTATTTTTTATTTTTCTGTTTTCCTCAAATCCAATATAATTTTAAAAGGGGTCTGGTGTAGCTATACAGGGTATTACTGTGGTTTTTGATATTCTGTGAACTCAGTAGTTGTGAGCTGCAATTTGATTTTTCGCTGCCGTCAATCAAAAATAATCAGTTGATACTTTTGATGTTCTTGACTGGCAGCAGGGAAAACCCAATTTGACAACAAGCCGTTGTAATGAATGTCTGAGTTTGCAGAATATCAAAAACTACAGTAAATACACTTGTCATAGATTTTAGTCACTTCAGTGTAAAAGCATGAACTGTAGCTCATGGTTTTGTCTGATTTGGGATGTTTTTCATACATTTTTGGACTTATTCTAAATACGTTTTCCCCAGATCGAACACCTTGGAGGATCTCCCGTAAAAAGCATCAATGAGAGACCAGCACAATTGAACGTGGTGTCCAACCCCCTCYCACCCTTTGCAGCTACCCATAATTCACCAGTCGAGGAACCAGTCCAATTTGAGGTAGGTCCCACAAGAAGAGACCTAAGGCTTCACTACTTTCTTCGAGCTCAGATGCTTGATGCTGTGGTGTTTTTTATATATTTCAGTACCTAAGGAATATCTTGTTTGAATACATGATGGGGAAACAAAGAAAGGTAAGAAATAAACCTTCAATGTCCAATATTGATCTCAAGAACAAAGCCATCATCTCTGTTAACCCGATTTCACAATCTAATTTAACATTTTCCTTATTTCATGCTACATTTTATGGAACCTCTATWAATCAGTCACATGCATGACTACTTTCCACCGCTTAATTGACTTTATTTATGCCTTTCCTTCCTTTCTTGATTTCTTAACCCTACTAGAAGGCAAGATTAAAGTGAAATTGAGAACGCCATCATTTTCTCTACTTGCATCTTGACAAGTCAACCCTCTTTTGCTCAAATTTCCCAGTATATCGTTCCTAACAGACGCCCCCCTTTTCCTGGAATTCCTGGTAAGACCTTGGTAATGGTCACCTCCCTTCTAAAATCATCCTGGATCCGCCCCGGTCATGTTATAATCCAGATGCTTCATTGCATTTCTCTTTTTTTCACTTTAATACAGCAATTAGCAAAGGTGTTGGCTGCAGTTGTACAATTCTCACCGAAGCAAGTCAAGCAGATCATGCAGAAAGAAGACGAATTGGCAGCACAACAAGTAAGTTTATACCGAAGTGGTTTTCTCTTGGCTCTTACGGATTACAAATCCTTTTCATATTTCCTTTTGTATTGAATTGTAATTTAACTATACTTGAGACGAATTAAGATATAAGCTTAAAATTTATAGTAAAAAAAAAAAATGTTTGCCATTCTTCTCAAATGAGTGTTTTAAGTCGAGTTTAMTTAAATAGTAAACAAAACTTTAAATAGTAATATCTCGAATAAGTTTTAAACATGAGTTACCATTTGRACATCCTAGAATTCTTTGTTGATGAACGCAACTTGAATCCTTTGGGATATTGAAACTTATTCAAACAAAGCAAGGTGGACTAAAGACTTTAAAGATAACTAATCGACTAATCGAAGTATTCCTTTCAGATCTTTTAGCATTTTAACTACGTTAACATTGGTTGACATTCGTTATTAAGCACTTAACGAGAACCTAAAATTCTTCCTAAAATTTATAYATTTAATCGTACTTAACCAACATGATCTCAATATGAGATGTGAATTGAACGATAATAAAAGATAAATAACGAAATTAAATATAAAAGAAAGAAAGAAGGATTGGAGAGGAAAGCTGACTTCTTTTCTCTCCTCCCTTCCTTCCTTCCTTCCTTCCTTCCTTCTTTCCGCTTCCTTTCTTTCTCTCATTCCTCCATCCTTCCTCCCTTTTTCTCTTTTATTCCTTCTCTTTTGAACAGTTAAAATACCAGTATCATTTTTGAGAAAGAAAAAAAAGCAATATTAAAAAAAATTAAAAACAACAACAACAACAACGAAAAAAAAAATAAATCTCACATTAAAATGCTAAAATGCTCATACATMAAAGTCGATTATAATTTAGTCTCCCTCGCAGCCCTTTTTAGTCTCGCTCCATTCCCCTACGGTCCACTCCTCTCTTGTGGGGATAGAAGTGGACCGTAGGGGAATGGAGCGAGACTAAAACGGCTGCGATGGAGACTAAATACAATTCCTCAGTGTTTTAMGTTTGGCATTTTTTTCTGTTGTGTTCTGTAGAGTGGTGGATTTTTATCTCCTCATAGATGATACTGAGATTACCTATATGAGGGACGTGAATCCAAAGGTAGAAAAAATACCTGCTATAGACTCCACTACGTGAATTATTAGTATTAGATTATTGATCTAGGATATGAATCTAGGATAACTGAAATTAGTCTCGATCGAATCGAGCCCTGACAACCTATCAGCTGATCGATCTGAATCAGGGAATGGTTGATTCACAATGGAATTGGAATTGGGTGTTGTGTTGGAATCGGAATTGGGATTGGGTATTGGGTTGGAATTGGGATTGGGTATTGGATTTATTTGAGTGAGGAAAATTGGAGAATCCAGGGGAAAACCCTGGACTAAATCAAGAGAGAGACTTAACGAACCCGAAGAGTTTTTTKGGGGGGAGGGGTGGGGGTTGAAGCCCTTCCCTTTCACTCTGTACGAAATCYATCATTTTCCTATGAAGTCAACAAGGAAACAGCTTTTAAGAAAATTTTAATGATGAMCATCCTCACTAAAGCTCCAACCATTACCCCCTCCCCCCTCCACAATTAAAAAACGTGCATTCCATACAATGACATTAATTTTATGTTTTCAACAACGTTTCTCACCATCATACTATTGTAAMCTATATCTAAACCGCATTTCCTTTATTTTCCAGATCAAATGACCTGGCTTAAAGCCTGTTCAGGAACACCCATTTTAGTTTCAAAAAAGAAATATCATTCGATGACGTCATTTGATTGGCACGTGCCTCTGGCCAGGTGCCATGCATTTCAGCCAACTGGTACTCAGGCGCCCTGGTCTTCCTATGAATCTTGCGCGTCAAATCGTAACTAGGGTTTAAGAAGCTTTRGTCTTAGCGTCCAAAAAATACCGCAAATACTAAAAAATACTTAGAGATTTGTGGTATAATATTTCAAAATTGATTGTTGCGTCACGTCATTTTWAAAATTTCACTGTCGAGATATTTCGATGCATACTGAAAAAAAACTATGATGTTAGTTGTGAGTTTATGTTTATTCGAGGTATTTTCAACATAGTGACCATAGAATTATAAATATTAAGGTTGGTACCGTTAAACGCAGAGATTTCTCGTGCAACTGTTTGCGAAGAAGCATTGTTGCAGGTCGTACGAGATGTTTGTTTGTTTAGTATGCGCTTAAGGCGCGGACACGGTGCAACATTGCGCGCAATATTGAAGGTAACGTTGATGTAGTTAGGATCGATTTCTACTTCGCAGCGTCGATTGCCTGCGACATTGCGTGTGCCCGTAGCTTTACGCAACTCGTTTGCATCTCTAAATCGTTTCTTACGAGATAAGCTGAGCAATCTTGAAACAATTTTCTGCGCGTAACATTTCGCAACAGAATGTTTGCGTGTAAACATAACTTTCAACCTGCAACAGGTTTTTTTAACGAGACAAGATGAAGGATAAATCTTTGCATGTAGACAACGGTACAAAATGAGTATCTCCCTGGTATCACGGGAAATATCCGTAATTATAAGTCATTATTTTGGCATTCGGAATTTACTTTAAAACTTCTCTTCATTCGCCATGTTTGTCTCCTATCAATTTTATGTAACTGGTTCAWTAGTTAGGGTCAAAACTTATATATAATGAGATTTCGTACGACTTTAAAAAATTGGGGGCGTTGCTCCGTTTGAGCATTTTGAATGGACGAGTATTCTGATGTGTTCTCAGTATTCGTATAGCTGCATGGATATCGTCATTTCTATGCTGTCTACCACAGATCATGTTTGGCTGTGAAAAATACACGGTTTATATATCGACGTGCAGTGACCATGACTGTGACGGGTACAATGTTTTCATTGGCTTAGCACTGATCTCGCTCGTTTTGATTGGATCGAAGGATGTGGTCCATTTCATACCGTGACGGTTATGAGTGTCCAGTCCTTTCACAGTCTTACGAAATCTACTCTGTTCTGATTTGAAAAATCCGCGCATGCATTCTACACTTACCTCGTGGCAGCTTAATCAATCTCGTACCCAGAGCCTTTATTTCTTACCGCGCATGCAGTTTTATTTCGTCGAGCATGCGCAATAAAAAAATAAAGGCTCTGTTTTTGGTAACGAATTCATTTTGGGAAAACTATTTTATGGTGCAAGATAAAAACATATTATAACACAAATATATAAAACACTGTAAATTAATTGTATATTATTAATCAAAAGGCAGAAATAAAATCAGGAAAATTTGATTTTTATTGACAACATTTGTCGTCGCACTCRATTGTGCTGATCAATACAAATATCGTGGTGTGGTTTTGGCATGCTTTCAATAATTTCATTTGATTATAGACTCATGCTTTTAAAAACTTAAAAGTTCCATGCATTATCACTTGATTATTTCTATAAAAATACATTGCATTATTGAATGTGTATAAACATTTTTTATGGGGGGAGGGGTTCGGCATCTATTTTGAAGGATTGAACGATATGGCATATCCATATCGAAATAGGTTAAATATACCGTAGGTGAAGAGGTAAGTGCTTTTCTGAATATCATGCCCCTATGTGCCAGTGTAGCGGAATCGCAATCGTAATGTTGGGATCAAATTTTTTTTGCACGTTACGTCATCGACGTCATATTGTTGGTATTTACCTATAGCTTTTTTCAGTGAATAGACCCCTTGCAGCACTTCAGAATGCAGCTCAATAATTGAAATTATTTTGTGTTCTCCAAATTGAGCTGCATTGACGTCACGTCATGCAAGGGGTCTAATAGTCTTCTTTGTTCATACCACCAACATGGCCGCCAAAGACTTAGTCTCTTAACTCTYTTGGGAATGATAGTATTTTTAGGAGTGATTTTCCCCGAACGTACGTGTTTCTTATATAATACTATGTGACTCAAGAATGCTTTACTCTTCACTCTCATTGGTCAAAAGCAATCACGTGATTCTAAATTTAGTTGAAAATCACCAATCCAAAAATGGATAAACTATAAAGAGTGCAAAAACTATATCAATGAATTTTCGTACTGAATATATTTGCTAAATATATTTKCTAAATGTACTGGCTTTAACTCACTTGTAATGAACTAACACTGAAGATGACGTGAGTCACGTCGAAACGTTTGTCAAAACGAATATTTAAAAGTATCTTAATCATCATAGTAAGAATTACCACAGAATTATCACTTTGAACTTTTGGATTTAAATACAATCTTTTTTGCATTAGCGGTGCTTAGGTTGAATATGATGCATCTAAACTGATCTCGAGCATTGATTCTCTGGTTTTCATGATCACCATGATAATGTCATAAACAGTTTATCCTGCTATCCTTTTTGTTCATCTATTAACGTTGGCGCTGTAAATAAGCTTTCATAGCCTGCGAAAAATGAAATAGAGTGAAATTCGAGTAAGAAAATTTTATGACAAAAAGGGCGTGTTTAGTTGCGAAATTTGCATGAAAATCCTTGCGGCCTTATTCGTCATCAACGTAAATGAAACTGTTGCACAATGTGCGAGTCCCTTTTGTCCCTTGGGCACTGTTTCGTGTTTGCTTTGGTTAGTTTGGTCGAGTGAGTATAATAAAAGTAAAGGCTGGTTTACACTAGCAATTGTTTCGCGCGACTTTAGAGGCGATTTTATTGGAACCAGAAATTACGCGTGTAAACAGTCCGTGATTTTCAGCGCGATTAAAATCGCCGCAAAGTTGCACTACATTTCGTGCATATTCAAAATTACACCGATAAAATCGCCACTCATGTCGCGCGACAAGTGAAGAGAGGAAAGGAGGAGGAAGGGCTCTGGGCCGGAGTTTGTCAATCACCCCTCGTGTTTTCATAACTTGGCCATTATAACTCGCWAKTTCAGGGCTTGAACAGGGACATCTCGATATCACACTTACTATAGACTCGAGATATATGACAAATAACACTTACATATGATCAGGAGTATTCTTGGGTGGTTCTGGCTTGACCCGGTCAGCACCAAGGTTGTCCATCGCCATCACATTACTAGCCCAGTTGCTCTCATAAACATTTTCAGGGATTTGACTCCCATACAAAGGGTTCTGGTGTTCTGCGTGCTTGTTGCCTGGTCTAACGTTTCCGTCCTTGTCCTTGTAGAACACGTCTCCATTCTTGTAGCTGACGTTACTTCCTGACCGTGTCATACCGTCATGGTGTATCACGGCCACTTCATCGCCTACGCCATAACTATATAGTGAAGGGAAAGGTTGATGGATGAAATATCATTCCGGATAAAATTCAGTGATTAAAAACACAACATTTTAAGCATTTCTCTTATAATCCCTGATTATGCTCAGAGATTTTGCAGTTAATCCATTTATATTATGTATTATAAGATATTGCGCGCGCTGATTGCATGTCTACCGTGTTTATATCAGGGGACAGAGACCCGCTCGCGCAAAATCGTTCAAAAAATRTCATTGCAATTTCAATATTGCTAATAAGAAAGCATGTTAGATGAGTTGCTGCAAGCCGTTTGGCGCATGACGTTTGAAGATCTTAGAAGTCATAATTATTTTGCTTTGAAACTATAAGGCTATACATGGTTACCTGGAAGATGGTTTCGGTCTCTTGACGAGCAATAAGACAATGACAATGATCAGGATGATCAGGACTAATGCAAAGATAATGACTAACCACCAATACGTAGCCAGGAATGTAGCTGAGGAGAAATGAATCGATGTTACTAATCAGTGAATAGGCCATTTCACGGATCCCGTTACTCAACCTCAGCCTCGTCAGCGTGTAATTATTCTTTAGAGTTTGACTACAGTCCGCAGTAATGAAAGGAATTTACACATCAACGAACAATTGAAACACTTAAAAATTTCACGGGTTGTAGGCAATTTCTAAAGAATATATTACACGCTGACGAGGCTGAGGTTGAGCCGCGGAATCTTTGAAATGGTCTATTGTGTGCCTCGGGCGGCTGTTAATATTCCCYACGTTGGTCTGTCCGTCCGTTCATTTATGATCACTCATTCATTAATTCAGTAAACTAAGGCGCGCGATAGTAAACGTCTTTCTATTTGTTTTTCCATTATTTCCTCTTTTCTYGTTTTATTCGTCAAACTATCTTGCCCTCAAAATACAAAATATTTAATATTTATTTATTTATTTTCCTTTTCACTTTTATCGTGTGTGGGATACCTGTGATATGACCGACACGAAGCCGACATTTGACGAACTTGCAGTCGAGGTCAGCCGAGGTCAGCCGAGGTCAACTTTCAAAATCCAAGATGGCGGCAAAAAAACGAAGAAAGATTGCTCAAGGTAAAAACTATTTTGTATAGGGTTCTAGCTATAAAATAAATACTTTGTAACCGTATATTTTTTGTACATTGTTTCTTGCTTCACAGAGAATCAAATTTACCATTGCAAGTTACTCCATCTCCATCATATCCACTCTTACAAGTACAGGAAAAGGTTCCTTCCTCGTTTGAGCAGGTTGCTTCTTGGTGACAGTCGTTTGCGTTGCTGGAACATTCATCATAGTCTAAAGCTATAAATAAAGGGTAAGTTAATATTTTTATCGTATTTTATCATACTTTAATCTTTTTGGCCTCTAAGTTTCAAGTTTTACAAGATTATTTTAGCTTATTTTCTAAATCCCATYCAAGTAGCTGTTCTTAGATATCGAAACTATCCAAATCTTAAAGTTTTTCAAAGTTCACGGGAAAAATATCCGCTTTACGAACTTCGTTCTAACTATTTATTTTATTTTATTTTAACTCCATTGTTTTAAAGCTGCATAGAGCTAAATATCTGTCAAATTTGACTCTGCACACATAATGTTATAAACGCAAGTCATGGCAAATTCACCCAAATTCTTTCCTATTACATCCTCAGTGGTAGTAAGACAGAGTCGTTTATCTTCTGTTTATATGTCTTTCTCACCCAAAAAAAGTTAAAATAAAGGGAAGGAAGGGAGGAAGGGAGGAAGGAAGGAAGGAAGGAAGGAAGGAAGGAAGAAAGAAAGAACCAGCGAACCAACCAACTCTGGCAAAGTCTTTTCTGGAGATGCCAGCAGAATCGATAACTGCAGTTTTTCCCCCATACCTCAAGAGAATAATTTTCTCTTGCATACCTTTTATAGCATTTTTATCTACTTCAAGGTCATTTAGATAGAATTTTCCATTAATATCGTTTAAGCCATTCTGAAAATAAAGTTCCAGATTTTGCAATGTCCCTGTATACTCAAGACTTGTATAGACCGACACATCAGCCACGACACTACCAGCACTGAAATAAAATTAATTATGATACATCATTAATAAAAATGAAATGCTTTTTATTAAGAAACTTAAACCATCTCTTAATGTGCAAAGTGACTCCATTAATGCAAAGCGTTTTGTTTAATGAAATTTTTACCTTTTTTTTCTTTCCCTTTTATTCATGTAATTATATCATTGTTATTATCTTTTGTTCTTGTACATACAGTCAATGTCATTAACGTTGTCCACCGAAAAAAGACATTTACACATTTACACATTTACACATTTAGACTAAAAGAAACATCACGTGTTTCATTATGTATTCTTTGCCTCATCTACGTCAGCCCAAACTTTAAATGTAAAATTCAACTCGTGAATCGAAAATCCACAATGCCCTGACCATTTAGTRAGGATTTAAGATGGAGAATGGTATTATAGTGTTTGTTTTATGCCAGACCGTTCRAGGAAACACGTGATATTTCTTTTAGTCTGAATGTGTAAATGTGTAAAAACGTAAATGTGTAAATGTCATTTTTCGGTGGACAACGTTAATGACATTGACTGTATATCTTCTTATTGTAATTAGCTTTCATTGTTTCATGATTTATATATATAGTTTTTATTTTCTTATTGACTTGATAATGACGTTACGTAACCGTAGAAACGTCGTCTTTTATTAAAATGTTTTAAAATATAGTTTTTTATCGTTAAATTTCTTAGTTAAATGTTTTAGTAAGTCGCTACTTATACATAATTAAAATGCATCTTTAATAACTAATAAATCATTAATGATAATAAATCGATTATAAATCTTTATCGCTCATGAAAATTTGAAATACCGATAATACCAATATGCCTTCACTTGTTTGCCAATAGGCCATTTCACGGATCCCGTTACTCAACCTCAGCCTCGTCAGCGTGCAATTATTCTTTAGAATTTGACTACAGTCCGCAGTAATGAAAGGAATTTACACATTGATCAACGAACAATTGAAACACTTAAAAATTTCACAGGTTGTAGGCAATTTCTAAAGAATATATTACACGCTGACGAGGCTGAGGTTGAGTAACGGGATCCGTGAAATGACCTATTGGCCTATCGGTTGAGCTGCGGGATCTGTRAAATGGTCTATTACCATCTTTTTAGGAGAGTAATTTTTAGCTTTTACTAAAGTTCAACTCTCCTTCATAAACAAAAATGTAAAGAAAGTCTTGTTTACCTGAACGAAATTAATCTGCATCCTTTGTAATGGATCTTGAAATTCAGAGTCTTCAGAAATACTTTATTWATCTGTTCAAGAAAAAGGCTCTAACTTGAACATTATTTCCTTCCTTTGTATTTATAACGCCTGAATATAATTCAGCCAATATTAGATCGTTTTGGTATGAGTGGGAAACATACGATTACTGACTTCAGTACGTACACGGTGCGCCATGATGTAACATCGAGATGGCTTCCCGTAAAAATGCTTATCGTCCTCATAAGTAGAAGTGGGAAACATATGGTACTGACTTACAGCCCGTATACAGTACGGCATGCCGTAACATCGAAAATTACTTCTCGTAAGAATGGTTATCGTTCTTATACGTATAAGTGGAAAACATACGGTACTGACTTACAGCGCGTATACAGTACGGCATGCCGTAACATCGAAATGGCTTTCCATAGTTGTTTTCCAGTAACTCATTCAACAACAAAGCCTACAGTACATTACGAATACGAATTTGTTTTTTATCGTTACCCACTGTTTGCCATTAAAAAAAGCATGTATGGTCATGAGATATCATCGATACTGCCCTCATTTTGTTAAAATAAGAAGAAATGTACATGATGTACATGGTAATTTACGTTTCTAGCTCGCCATAAGTTTTGTAGTCTCCCTCGCATCCGTTTTTAGTGTCGGTCGTCACACACTAAAAACGGATGCGAGGGAGACTATAAGTTTTGCGAATAAGTGTATAAGAGAGAAAATATACCCACGTTGTTTTGTAGGTTCTCTTTCAAATCGTAGAATTCACGAGAGGTAGGCAGCTTCAAATTTTCATCGAAAACACGGTTTATAATTCTAAGTTTAATTTGGTAGCGCTTCGTTCCTGCAAAGTAAATGGATATAAGATTATCGAACAGCTTCTTTGAGAAAACATTCAGAAAATRTCGTTTCATTAACCATTCCGAGGTTGAGAGAAAAAAACTGGGWCGAGTTGGAATTACAGGGCATTCTGGGACTTTTTTAGGGGATATTTTTCCAAGATATTTTCTAAAACATTCCCACAATGCACTACGATGCAGAATCGACTATGGCCGGTTTTCTTTTCAATTAACCTCGAAACGGCTAATTATGGTGATATGCAGTCACGCCGTTTCATAACTCCAAGTCAGCGAGGACAAAAAGTGCAGGAGCGGATTAAGGGGTGGGGCCAACCGTCCTGCGGCCCCCTTTTTTTAGAGTAATTTATTTTCTTTAAGCTTGGCAAACATTTTATTTGCATACGGTCTAAAAGTTTTTCTCTCAGGACGAAGTTTTCCGGCCCACCCTTTCTTTGATTCCTGGATACGCCCCTGAAGTGAGACGGTTGGAAACGACAACAACGGGCCTTTCTGTATATTTTGAATACAACATGTCATAGATTGCGTACGACCAAGGAAACATTGCGACAAACATTGTTACTCTTTCAACATATTATAAAAAGCATACCGCCTTTTCAATATTAAATTCGGAAAATTCTTCGAATAATTACCAGAGTAAAGATTACTTACTGTCACATAGTTTTCCGTCTTCTAGCGAGGTTCCTGGTTTGACACAGTCACACTCGTATCCACCAAAGTAGTTCTGACAAATCTGATTTTTTTGGCATATCGATGCTGCAGTTGAGTTGCATTCATTGATATCTAAAATGTAAAGTAAAATTGAATAATTAATCATCTTTCACGATAGCGAAGCTGAGCGCAAGCCCACGCAAAAAAAATCTTCCGTTTTCTTTAGCTTGCGTATGAGCTTGCATCGCTTCTTTTCATAGTGAGCACACGGAGTTTCGTCTGCTTCCGTCGGCATGCGCTCGCTTGCGTCAGAAACCTATAGGTGAGGGGCGAGTTCTCTGYGCTTGGTTCCCCTTACTAAAGATCTTTTTCTTGAAGTCGCAAGCCTCAAAACTCTATAATTTAGTATAAAAAAAAAATTTTGAAACCGTCATTTTCGTTGGGAAAAGTGWTTCAAGAATCAATACTGAACAATGATTGGTCAGTTTATTTCATACCTTTGCACGTATAAGTCTGGTAGTCGAGAAGTGTTCCTGATCGACATGGTACGATGACACATTTATGAACYTCGTTCAATATCATAGTCACAAGCGCCATCAAAGTACGGGATATCACAATATTCACAGGCATTCGTTTACAGAGAGCAGCATCTTCCATGGTATAATTCCCCAATACTGTCATATTATCAGGACCCCAGTCCATGACTACAGACAWRTTGGAGATGGACACRTCACTRCACAYCATCATGAGAATCTGAAGAACGTTTTGTTTCCCTATCAATGAAACGCTAACTCCTTTGGACTGGGCTTTCGTTAACACAATGTCATTTTTCATGYTTTCCCTGCATTTGAACAAAGGATGAATACGACTTTTYGTAATATYGATGTATTGTCTCAAAGTCATGTTTATGATCTCGCCTTTGGGTAGTGCATGGATGTCAGYGAGTTGTTGCTCCGTGATGCCCAGCAKTGTTGAGATATTTGCAAAGGACTTTGGTATGATGTGAGGAACAAGCATTRACCACTTGGACGGAAGAAGTAGCATATTGTCATGCTTTATACATTCATACCCAGCTACAAATGAKAGATTTTGAGGGTCTAAATATRTTATACCACCAAGATGACTAAGGAAAGTCTTCAAGATGTCACTRSTAGGAATATTGCATTGACCACACGTCCCGGATGCTGACAAAGCAAAGATGCTTGATGCTCGTGCAACTARTGTGTTATGGAGGGCACTGAGCTGTGAGGTAAAATGTGCTTTACTCGATACAATTTTGTTAGTGACGTCAGCCATCGTGAGATTTCTCAYTTGTTGAACTGTGGTAGAAGTGACATTTGCTAAGTGGTTCAAACTCACAGCAGCAACTATTGGCCAATCAGATCCATTYACTTTTAATCCCCAAGCGATCTTTTCGAATGGCAAATYAACGAACATTTCGATGTTGGTAAGTAGAGGCGTTGTCTCATTGAGTGTCACATTGAATTTTGCAGTAACTTGGTYGATGTTTAGCAGCSTAAATGCTACAAGCAAGGCAATGTTACGACAAGATGACACATCATTKTGACCAATCATTGTTGTCAACAGTTGATATGGAGTTTTGCTTTTAAGACTGGCTTCTGATAACCCACAAGAACAAGGTATCTCTTGGAAATAAAACTCATTCAATACTTCAAGGGCTTGTGGACTTGCTTTAAAGAGGATAGATACTTCGTCTTTTGTGAGACTTAAGTGTTCCTTATAGAAGGTCAGYAAYGTCATGCCATTTAACGACTCTTCGCTAATATTCCTAAGCTGTTGTATAGCRCCAATGGTTTGGTTTTCTGWAAACTTCTTGCCACTAARTAACCTKCCAAACTCGCGATCCCATGCCACCTCTAGCTGAGCCAGTGTGGAAGATGAAATATTAGAGCTTAATTGTAGGAGGGTTATAAAATTGTTTYGGGTGACATTCAGCTGTAARCTTCCACTGGCAACGATCTCWTKYTTTAAGGGGAGAAGCAKTTCTTGCCATTCAGTAGGTGCTAAGTATTTGATATTAYTGRGAWTGACTTCTAGTACGGGWGCAATCGAGGCGAAGGTAATAGTGTACTTCTTCTTTAAAAATTCTTGTACTTTTTCAACTTGTGAAAGAAGAGTCWTGGCATCAAACKCAGCTKCTGTGATGTTCAACGTCTGTGTGACTTCAGCTTTACTTGTGCTAAATGTTGTCAAGAGGACACTGAGAGTTTCAGTGGAATATGWTCSGAACAAACCTTTATAGAAAACTTTGAATTCTGCRTGGATTRCATTAGCTTTTTTCAGCAGGTTCTCCAGAGTATTGTGTTGGACAGTATCAACCGACAAGCTTGACGTCCTTGGTATTTTGTCCTTGTTGAGCGTATCCATTTGTGGCCAATCACTCATGGCTACTCCAAACATCTTTRCATTAAAGCGCCAAGTAAGTCCAGAACACTGTTCAACTATTCTCATCAAAGAGGTTGATTTACTTGAAAGGGCAGAACATGTTGCTTCATGATCTGATACGTTTTTGCTCTTTGCTGCAACGAAAAACCTAGTTGACTTACACGTTCCCTCCACGTTTTGAATYCCAACTAAAGCAATAGTAACATTATATGGAGTAAGCTGTTTGAGYSTMGCCAGAYCAAGAYCACAATACCTCYGTAACTSTTTAATGTTCAACAAAGACAGCACTKCAAGCTGTTCKTCTGTTAGGCGGTAKATTATCTTTAGTGTTGTAKTGTCAAACCCAGTTGCTGCCAAGAGTRCAGCGAGGGTACTGTTTCCTCCAAACACCTCATCRCTAATGGAATTAGCTGTAAGRTAWACGCTYAGTGTCTCGTTATCAAATTYGTTTTTRCTCWMCAAAATTGCTKRTAAAACATTTTTAATGGCAAGCTTCAGTTCGGCTATGGTACTTTTACCTGGAAATAATCCTAACAGTGTAAAAGTATCAATGTCACTCACTTGCAGCTTAGAGGCTGGCGATTTGATAGCTGATCTAATTATAAAAGGTATGATCTCATGAAGCTCAGAGGTGGGGGAGTTGTAGAGCTCTTGTAATGTTTTACTTGTTGTATTGAACATGGTATTTAAGGGAATCCCAAGATCCATTGAAGATGCATTTAAGTATGCCTCTACCAACTGAGCTGAAGTGTATCCTGCGTACGTCTGAGGCGTTATTCCTARCAAAGTTTGCAGTYGGCTTGCTGTCRSGTTGAACAGSGTTTGAAGGGTATTGGATGTCTTCTGTCGATACGCTGTAAGACTGTGACTCCCTTCTTTACACTTTTGAGACATCCCCAACACCACATCATGAACTGGTTTGCCTTGCAATGTCGCATCAGTTGTAGAAAGGATGGTAGCAGCCTGTGTAAGAGTTACGCTATCAAAACATTCCCATTCAGAAGGCTCCAAGGTCATGGTCAGGCGACAGGATTTCCAGTATTGATTACAAATACCAAGCAAAATCTGTAAAACAGTCATTTGTTGTACGTTGGTCAAGCTAAAAGAGGAAACCAGTTGTCCCTTCACTTTGAACATGGTCGAACATGGAGCAGATGTGGCGATGTTTCCTAGTGTGTCCCATACAATACTTGGTATGTTCTTGTGTAAGACAAGAGACATCGATATTCCACACGCCTGAGATAACTGCATTAGAGTGCTCCTCTCTGTTGCTCTCATTTGGTCTGCAGTAAGATTATAGAGAATGCCAAATTGTTCCACGGTTAATTGGGTCGTCAGGTTCACCAGTTTGTATATCAGTGCTTCAGAAGAGCTACTAGATATTYCCGTAAAGGTGAGTACCTCGCTTGTTTTGTTCTTATCCAGCAAGGCTTTTTTTGGTAGAAATGGAGGCAGTAAASTGAGGAACGCATCAATGGTGACATTTTTGAGTTGGATTAAGGTAAGACTGACAAGGTCTGRCAGTCGGTCCTCAGAACCAASATCAAGAAGACTCACATAACTAACTATTCCTTCTGCAACCATAGCATGTACAACTTCGTCCCACTTGGCAGGATCGTAGGCGTAACTTAGGTTCCTGGTAGGTACGCCAAGTCGTACCGCCACTTTAGACAATTCTATTGACATTTTTCGGCTTATGTTCGTGAGCATCATTTCTTGTACAGCTCCAAACGTGTAATGCACCAGTTCATTTGCTTCCAATGAAGTACGGTGTATATCATCTCTAGATATATTGGTAGACCAATAATAGTTAATATCCGATAACGAGGAAGCTGGAGGAGGGCTGCCGGTATTTATGTAGTGAGATTGTATGTAGTTACCAACAGCAGCAATTGTCATGCCGTATAATTTGACTATGTTATAATCGTTCGGTTCTTTTTCCGCCAAATGAATGGCTGTAAACTTCTCGGCTAATTCTTTTGCATCATCTATTGTTGTCCAAGACCTAAACAATTTGGTATTGACAAAAGGCATATGAAGAACAGGAATGATGATGTCATTTTGCCCAAAAGAACCTCCAAGAAAACCAAGGAACGTTAACCAAATAATCTTATTCATCTTGCTTCTTCACGGCAAGGGAAAAACTTTAGGATTCTAAAATGAAAAACAATTTAATTTAATTAGGAAAACCGTTTATTTTATTGAACCCTGGAATAATCTCAGGTTAGATGTAAACAACGGTGCGTTCGATCAAATATCGAATCAGTGAAAAACGCTTTTACAGAAGTCCTTAACTTGAAGCGTCCATCTTCCATTCGAATAAAACGACCTGTGTTTCGGAAATGAGCTATTTTTRGCTATGTCAATATAAACATTTGGTATTAAGGTGACTGCCTACTTTTGGAAAAAATATTAAACTTTTTTTAAAACTTCAATTTTCCGAATTGAAATTTAATGCTGATTCCAAATCTTGAAAGACAAATTGAGTGTCCAGAGTTTGTTTTCGAGATAATCAGCATTTAATGGAAGCCTACGCGCGAGCTTTTGGATTAAAAATTGCGCCACCGAAGAGATTAGAAAAAAATTAAGATTCATAAGATAATAGTTATTTGCAGACTCTATGATTGCACGAATGAAGGCTAGTCAAGGCTATTCAATAATACGTGGATATGTTCGACAAAAAGACAGAGATACATTGATTTGTCATATTTTGTAGTTTCGGTGCTCTTAAAAAATCTAATAAAGTCGAACAAAATTCCCTACAAAAATCTATTTTTTCATGTGTTAGAATATTTAACTTTTTCTACAATGTTGATATAACCTAGATTTTTAGGAGTTTATTCAAATAAGCTATTAAAAATAGAGAGTCCCGTGCAAAATTTGAGGGTTTTGCCCTGTTGAAGCTTAAAACGCGTATGCGGGTTCTTCAATAACATCTTGTAGATTTTTCAGCGTTTTTTAAGCGCGCGCACATAGTGGGCTTAAATCGAACGTTCAAAAGTAGGCAGTCACCTTAACACATGGTTTTGTTGTTAAGTTGGGGAAAACAGGGTGGGATAAAGATTATACTAAAAATCGTATGAAAAACTTTTGTAGTCGGGTAGTTGTGGTAACCTAGATATGTTAGTCGTATGAGTGAAGATTTATTTTCGGGACAAAAGAGCTTACTTCGTCTCAGAGCCTGAGAAATGACTAGACTGTTCTGCAGCAGTCGGAGCCCATGATGTCATACGCATGCGCACTGATCAAGGTCGATTCTGAACTCTATTTTATAAAATGTCGTTCGAAATCATGTCAAATTAATATTTTTTACAAGCACAATCCTAGTGAAATTCTCTTTCGTCCTGATCGGCTGAATGCGTTGAGATCAGTTAATTTTTTTTATTTGGTCGAAAGACTCCATTGTTTTGTCATTCGACATGGCCGTACGCTCGATCCCATGAAAACTTATAGTATGATAATGGTATATTTATGAAACAGAACTTATTTGACAAGTGCTTAAACTTTCTTAATGATAAATTTTCAGAATATTTAACATTTAAAAGTTAAATTTTTTATGATTTACACGGCGTTTTGAAGAAATATACAAAAATATATTTTAGTCTTTTTTATCTCAACACCCCTTGCTGGGCCTCTAATGAGACAATTTAATGTAATTCAAAATGGCTAAATCCTTAAGTTCATTGAGAATCTCGATGTTGAGGGAATGCAACTGCACGAGCCAAACTGCACAGTGAAACCGTTGCAAATGCAAGAACCACAGCGTGTATGAGAAATATAAGGAAAAGAGACAGAAAATGTTATGTATAGCTTTATGTGTATATCTGTATATAAAAATTTAATTTAATTTAATTTAAAAATTTAAAAAAATTTAAAAAAAGGAAAAAAAAAAAAAGAATCCCAGCCCACTTGAAAATACTCTGGCAAGGGGGGAAAGGGTTTTCATGGGAGCAATGATAGGAAACAGGAGCAATGGAATGTTTTCGCATGAGGAAAGATTTACAAAGGAGAGCATTTGACCCCCGTTACGTTATCGCCGCCGTGAAACCCTCCTCCATAGTTATTATGGAATAGTCATGATTAGTCATTTCAAGGTCTGATAAACTTATTTTTGTCAAAAGACGATGATGTTTCCTTCTTTTTTTTCCCGAAAATACAAATAAAAGCACAGGAATTGACAGGAATAACACTGAGCTCGTGGTTTAGTATTTATTTATTTTTATTTTTATTTTTTATTTATTTATTTTTTATTTCTTATGTACTTTAAGTTAACGTCGGGCCAGCCGGAAAAAATCTACTATCTAATCTAACTTGGAATTTGAAATCACTTTGAATATTCAGAATTTTCCGTATTGTTCTGTACAACTGCACTATATTTCTGAACAATAAAACTAATACCCCGGATGTAAGCAGTACACGATTTTTGATTTCTCTCGTGACAATTGAACTAGTTGGTACAGATCATATCACGAATTTTCTCAGGACTATTTTCTTTAAGATTTACCTACGAATTTAGATTAATATTTATTTAGAATATTGGTTGCTTATAAATCATCAGAAAATCAAGTTCGATATTCTTCAAAATTCGAAATATTTTTGAAATATTTTTCATATTTTCTTTTTATCATACTACTTCAAAAGTAGAAAACTTTTTAGTTTCTTTAATTCATAGCTATACTAATAAAATATTTAATACTAGTAAATCCATGTCAATGTTCATGGTAATTTAGAGTATTTTTAAGAGTACATCGACTAAACAAAAATAAAGAATGAATTCGGTATGTCCCGCTAAGTTGACCGTTAATTTGCATATTCCATACTTTCGCAACTGCTTCAATTTTTATATATTCATAACCGTAGGTGCCTTCGGAATTAAAATTCTAAATCTTTTCTCAAGAAAACAATTGTTTTTAATTTTAAAAATCAATCGTGTTTAGGGTGCTACGTAGTCAATTTCAAAATGCTTTAGTAACACGAACAAAAATATACTCTTTCGCTCAAAAAAAAAAAAAGCAATTTTGTCTAAATGTCATTAAAAAAATTTTGATAAGATTTTAAACTTAAGTTTTGAGAAAGTACACATTTGTATAGATAATTTTTTTAATGGTGGTGATCGGATTACATGAAGTGAATAATTCAGTGGCAATATGTTTTCGGTTATCAATTGTTTTTCAAACTTCAAATCTCAGCTTTATACTTAAATTATACGTTATATTTTTCATTTCATGTCTAGAAATACCCACAGCAATTAAGGAATGAAATCCAGTAACTTTTTACTGGTATTTCAGTATTTAATACAACCGTCGCTAAATGATGAAAGTCTCGCACTAAAGATCTTACTAAAACAACCTAACGTCAGAATAGCAGGAACGCATATTTCTTCCATTTTCTGACAAAAAACCTGCCTTTTGAGTTATTTTCGATCAATATCCTGATCGAAAAGAAAACTAAAAGGAGTTAAAATAATATATATCTATCTATATGTGGGTCCATGTATATTATGATTATCCGATATATTATAAAAGATCGTTTGAACTTTGTCACAAACTTCGTTTTCTTAACTAAATGTCGCTCGAATTTCAACTCCTCTAAAGATAACAACTTTTCTTACCGTTTCTTTTTGCTTGTTGTCGCAGTGAAGAAGAAAGCGTAGTTGTTCACAATACTGTCCAAGTTTAGTTTTACATTACATCGTCATGCGAACCTACAGTCGTGAGAAAACATACTGTTTGGATCTACTTATCTTCGTGGAACTAAGCGAATACCGATCACCTCGGGGGTCCCTGAATTGTGATGAATAGACTTTATAAACATTATTATGACATATCTTCACCACGACTAGGAATAAACCTTTATTTTTTATTCGAGAATCGATGTTGATTGACCCTTGATGTTGTTTTGTTAAACGGATCTATGATGATAAGTAACATAGATCTTAAAAATTATAAGGTATACTACACTATGATAGTGATAGAGTCTTACTATAATGCTTTGACATTTGGTTAAATTTATCTTGAAGTTGGGATTGTTGTATTGTCATTATGATATGACTCTTTGACTCACTCCTATTGGATATACGATCATATCAAGCCAAACCAACGTCAAACTTCAAAACTAGAAACAGTTAAGCCAAGCATGGTTCATTAACTCTAGGGAGCCATCACTTTTATTCAAGTCGGCGATTTCTTGTATTTTTAAGATATTTTCTTGGATCTAGAAGCTTCCATCGATGAAAAATAACGAAGTTATAAAAACTTTAATTAAAACTTTATTTTATTGTAAACGTGGAATTTTCGGAAGGAAATTATTTTGGGTGTTACCGAGAAATTGCACCGAAATTCGTTTTCAACCGAAGTAAGCAAGCAATAGTAGATTTCATGGGTCCTTTATAGTCTTCGTCTAGTAACTATTCCCAATGCAACACACAGCTCGCGTGTAAAATACATACTGCTCACATTTCAATATGTCCAAAGGCTTCGTTATTACCTTTTGCA